GGGCCTCTCACTGCACCTCCAGCAGTTCCCTCCAGCTGCAGAAGCTGCTGCAGATGCGGCGGAAGGTGGTGTCGGAGGAGGAGCAGCGGGACAGCGGGAGCGAGCTGCGCGGGGACGAGGATGACATCCCCCTGGGGCCCCAGTCCAACATCAGCCTCCTGGACCAGCACCAGCACCTCAAGGAAAAGGCAGAAGGTAGAGGAGCTGCTGGTGGCAGGGCTGGGTGGTTTTCTGGAGGAACCAAAACCTTCTCACTGTGTTCCCAACTCTGCCCCCAGCACGGAAGGAGTCAGCCAAGGAGAAGCAGCTGAAGGAGGAAGAGAAGATCCTGGAGAGCGTAGCGGAGGGCCGAGGTGAGTGGTGGGAGCTCCATTCCTCCCAGACCTGTCTCTAGAGCTGTCAGGGCAGAAGTGGGGGTATCACCTGCCTTGCAGCACCCGGGGTGTTCACACCTGGGCTGGGGCAAGAGGTCACCATGCAATCCTTCAGTCAGGCTGGCTCACCTGAGGTGGTGCTGGAGCACGGAGTGTTCCTGCACCCCGGGGGGCTGTCAGGGTGCTGCTTTTCCTTCTCTGGCTCTGCGCACCGTCTCCCAAATTGCCCAAGTAGTTCCCTGGGCTAACCTCAGGGTTACATGTGTCTGCAGAAGCCGAGCATGTGCTGATCTTGTCGTCTTGGTTCTTGCAGCTCTGATGTCAGTGAAGGAGATGGCCAAGGGCATCACCTATGATGACCCCATTAAAACCAGGTGCGTGTTGCAATACAGAGGTTGTCTGCCTGAAAGCATCACTTCCTTAGGGCTGAAGAGATCTAGAAGTCGTGCAGCCTCGCAGGGGGAGCTGCTCTGCAGCTGCTGCCTTCTTCTGACTCCTTGTGCTGCTCAGATCAAAGACTGTTGAGTCACCCCTGATGTTGTTTCACATATAGTGAGGTTTGCTAGAGCACATTTATGTTAAACATGAAGGCTTGAGGTGGATCTTCAGATCTTGGAGGTGACTAAGCTGGAGTTCCTGTGGGTGCTGCTGCCTCGGGAGCCACAGCCTCATCCTGCAACTTGGTGTTTCTGTGTCTCCTTTGCAGCTGGAAGGCCCCTCGTTACATCCTGGGAATGTCGGAGGCCCGGCACGATCGCGTGCGCAAGAAGTACCACATCCTGGTGGAGGGGGAAGGCATCCCACCCCCCATCAAGAGCTTCAAGGAGATGAAGTTCCCAGCAGGTGGGCAGAGAGAGGAGCCTGGCAGAGTGTTCTCCTGGGAAATGTGCCTCAGCAAGTGGAGCTGTTGGATCTTTAATGCTGAGGGTTGGGGGGCTCACAGCTTAAATTGTTGATAGTGGCTGTGTCACCAAGGGTGTTTGTTGCTGGAGGAAGAGCTGCTGCAGGGATGTGAGGAGGAGGGAGAGGATTTCAGGTCATAAAACACACAGGTGTGTGTCTTTTGTTCTTTGGTAGCTATCCTAAGGGGCCTGAAAAAGAAGGGGATCCAGCAGCCAACGCCCATTCAGATCCAGGGCATCCCCACGATGTGAGTTCTCTGTCCCCATCCTGGGGGGAAGTGGTGACTCCCAAGAGCCCACCCCAGGGTGGTGTCCCTGTGCCCCCTCACCTTGCTCAGCCCCAGAGGTCTGGGCTGCTCCAGGACACTCCTGCTCACCATCAGCCCTGTGTCCCTACCAGCCTCTCAGGGAGGGACATGATTGGCATTGCCTTCACCGGCTCTGGGAAGACCTTGGTGTTCACCCTCCCAGTGATCATGTTCTGCCTGGAGCAGGAGAAGAGGCTGCCATTTTCCAAGCGAGAAGGACCTTATGGACTCATCATCTGTCCCTCTGTGAGTGTCGACGGTGCAGGGACAAATTCTTGATTGACTGTCAGTGCCAATCCCCAATCCCCCCTGCAGGCAGGGGTAGGAACCAGCAGGTTATGTCTCCGCAGCGGGAGCTGGCCCGGCAGACCCACGGCATCATCGAGTACTACTGCCGCCTGCTGCAGGAGGATGGGCTGCCCCCCCTGCGCTGTGCCCTCTGCATCGGGGGCATGTCTGTCAAGGAGCAGATGGAGACCATCAAACAGTGAGACCTTCTGGAAGGGGGTTTGTGGGGCTGGAGCTGTTTTTTGGCAGGGAACTTAAGGGGTGGGATGGCTTCAGGAGGGTGTGGGGGCAAAGGTGACGTGCCAAGTGAGTGTTACCTTCCTGATGTGTTGCTGGATGCCAAATGCCTTATTTCCTCCCACAGTGGTGTACACATGATGGTGGCAACCCCTGGCCGCCTGATGGACCTGCTGCAGAAGAAGATGGTGAGCCTGGACATCTGCCGTTACTTGGCCTTGGATGAGGCTGACAGGATGATTGATATGGGCTTTGAGGGGGACATACGTACCATCTTCTCCTACTTCAAGGTACTGAGCTGGCACGACATGAGCACCCTGAAGAACAGTTCCTGCACACACATGGTTGGGCAAGTGCTAAATCCCCACTCACATTGTGTTCCCTGCGCAGGGCCAGCGGCAGACCCTCCTCTTCAGTGCCACGATGCCTAAGAAGATCCAGAACTTTGCCAAGAGTGCCCTAGTGAAGCCCATCACCATTAACGTTGGGCGAGCGGGTGCTGCCAGCCTGGATGTTGTGCAGGTGAGGTCCCATGCCTGCATGGGAGACCAGTACCGTTCAGAAGAGCACTTGATGCATCCCTTGTCAGAGAGCTGGGGTTTGTGGCCCTCCTTCCCAAGAGGTTAAGAGTTACCAGGCAATCGTAATCTTTCTGCTGCTTGCCTGACCCATCTCTGTGCTTGTTCCTAGGAGGTGGAGTATGTGAAGGAGGAGGCCAAGATGGTGTACCTCCTGGAGTGCCTGCAGAAGACCCCACCACCTGTGAGTACAGGCTCTGGCTGCTGTGGCAGCACCGCAGCCCCGGGGCATGGCTGGGGTGAGCAGTGGGGACACATGTGGGGCTGCAGGGCTCTGCTGCACGCAGGGGGAGTGAGCCCGGCTCCATGTACCAGCAGGTTCTGGGCCTAGAGCTCTGCTGGGCATGAGGCAGTGGGCTTCCTGGGGGGGAATGTGCTGATGCCAGCCCGTGGAAAGGCAGCTCTTCCACCATGTCTGTGCTGCTGCAGGTGCTGATCTTTGCGGAGAAGAAGGCGGATGTGGATGCAATCCATGAGTACCTGCTGCTCAAGGGCGTGGAAGCTGTGGCCATCCATGGAGGGAAAGGTCAGTGGGGGTCTCTGGAAGGCCCTGCCTGATCCTGCTCTTGCTAGGATGGCGTGTGGCCGTGGGAGGTCCCAGTGTGAAGCAGTTTGTGATGGTGAGGAAGGGGTCTGGCAGCGTTGGGAGCAAATGCCTTGTTTTATGTTCCAGGCATAAATAGAGTGCAGGTCCCTGCTCCTTTATCTGGGGAAAGGCTGCATAGCCTCCTCACTGAAGGAGCCCCAGCTGAGCAGAGTTTGGCTCTGAAGCTGCTATGGTAGGACTTGAAGCTCCTCCCTCACTGATTTTCTCTGTGGGGCCTTTGCAGATCAGGAGGAACGGACAAAAGCTATTGAGGCTTTCCGGGATGGGAAGAAGGATGTCCTGGTGGCTACTGACGTCGCTTCTAAGGGCCTGGACTTCCCAGCCATCCAGCATGTCATCAACTATGACATGCCAGAGGAGATTGAGAACTATGGTGAGGACTGGGCTGCATGGGGGGCCAGTGAGGCTCTGCACTGGTCTCTGCAGTGGCTGGGGGCAGGGATGGTTGGTCACGTTGTGTTCACCCAGGCCTGATCCTGTCTCTTTCTCCACAGTTCACCGTATCGGGCGTACAGGCCGTTCAGGCAACACAGGCATTGCCACCACCTTCATCAACAAGGCCTGCGGTGAGAAATGCTGGGGGAGCTGCAGGGGGCAGCTGGGCAATGGTGCTGCCTCTGCCCTGGCACAGGGGTGTTCCTGGGCAAGTGAGGAGGAGTCATAGTGGCATGTGGAATGGAGATGGTGGTGTGGGGCAGTGTCCCTCATAGCTGCTGGGGCTGTGTCTGATCCACATCTCTGCTTACAGATGAGTCGGTGCTGATGGACCTGAAGGCCCTGCTCCTGGAGGCAAAGCAGAAGGTGCCACCTGTGCTCCAGGTGCTGCACTGTGGGGACGAGACTATGCTGGATATTGGAGGTGAGAGACCCTGGGCTGGCACAGGGACCTCTCATGGGGCTATTGAGAGACCTGGGCTGCAGACAGGACCCCCATTTCCCCCTGCTTGAGGCTCCCAGGGCAGATCCTGCCTCCCTGGGGGCTTTCACTGCCTGATCACACAGACAGCAGCAGGGGGACACACTGTCCTAGCCCCTCTGCTGGGCTTGGGGGGCTGCTGTCCTTGTGTGGCAGGGCCCCCCCTGACCTCCTCCATCCCTTTGCAGATGAGCGGGGCTGCGCCTTCTGCGGTGGCCTGGGCCATCGCATCACCGACTGCCCCAAGCTGGAGGCCATGCAGACCAAGCAAGTCAGCAACATTGGCCGCAAGGACTACCTGGCCCACAGCTCCATGGACTTCTAGCCCAGGGAGGGTGCTGCCCTTCCCCCTGCGCAGGCCGTGCTTCCCTTGCAGCCGCCCTCGCCTTTCCCAAGCCCAGGGGCCTGGCTGTGCCTCTGTGGCTCCTTTTCCAGGCATTTGGCCACCAGGGCTGTTGCCAGCTCAGCCTGACAAAGCTCCCCCTGGGAGGAAACGTGTGGAGCTGTGCTGCAATAACCCCTTACGTCAGCAGCACTTGGGCAAGCAGGTAGCAGTTCCTGAGGGGAGAAGGAATCCTCAGGTGCCATGGCTGGTTTGTGGACAGCTGCCCTGCAGTGGCATGGCCAGGGTCTTGCGTTGCTCCTTTCTAAAGCTCCTCTGTTCCTCTGGGACCTCTGCTGGTGGCTGTTCCTGTATCCCCCAAACGTGCTCCAGTGCAGCCGGGGCGAGGCAGAGTGTGGTGGGCAGCCCCCTGGGTGCTTCCTGAGCTCTGCCTGCTCCTGTTCTGCCCTCTGCTAGTTGGGGGGCAGACAGACAGACACCTCCTTGGCCCAGCCTCTGCCCCTCATCCCACCCACCAAAAAGGGGAAGTCACTGTGGGAAGGAAGTCTGCCCCATGCAGTTACTTGAACTGCAGCAGTCACATTTTCTCGGCGGCTGGCAGCACCAGTCCCCCATCCCTGTACTGGGCACATGGAGAGAGCTGTGAAGGATGGGATCCTCTATGTGCAGCACTCCAAGTTTGGAAAGGTAAAGGGTGAATTTGGGACCAGGTACAGGGTTTACACTGATCTTTCTTGATGCCAGGCCTGGGGCCTCAGCAGCCTGGAAAGGGGGCACTGGAGCCAGACCCCTGAGAGCTGCCCTGGGGGGGTCTCTGGGCTCTGCAGCCCATGGAGCAGGGCTCTGCCTGCAGCCGAGGGGACTCCTCTGTACAGGCACCTGCTTGGGCTCACCCCTGCGTAGGGTCCCTCTTCTCTCTTGGTTACCGCGGGATTCGCAGTGAGACAATAAATGTATGTTAACGAGGAGCAGCTCCAGCGTGTGTGTGGGAGTGGGGTAGCGTGTGGGACAGGGCTCTGCACCCAGCCCTGGGGGACCAGTGCCATCCGTGGGGCACCCCTCGTAATGCGGCCCATGGTCCTGCGCCCTCAGGGTGGGCACTTAGTGCCACAGCACTTTGGGCACAGTATGAGTGATACAGTGGGGGGGTCCCTGCAGCATGGAGCCAGGTCTAGAGAGCTGTGAGATGGGTGTTGTTGAAGCAGGTCCTGCTGGCACACTGGCCATGCCTTAGAAGCATCCCCTCCACCACGGCAGGGTGGCCGTGCCCCCGTGGGGGGCTTGCTGGGTGTGCTGGGCTGCCATCACACTCCAGCCTGGCTGCCAAGTGAGGACCATCTCCTTGAACTGAAGCAGGCAGGCCCTGCGAGGGCTGGGCTGATGCCCTGTGCGTAGGAGGCTGGTGGCAGGGGGTATTTTTGGTGCTTGGCTGCAACTGGTTCCTGCAGGGCGGATGCCCTGCTGTGCTGTTGAGGTGCGTGGGGGCCCGTGCCCCCTCCATCCCATGATGGCTGGGATGGTGCTGGTGCTGCAGGGCCTCCCCTGGGAGGAAGCGGGCTGCGAACTGCAAGGCCTGGCTATGCTCAGCAGATGCGAGGCTGCCAGCAGGAGCCCCAGCAGCTCAAAATGGCTTTAATTTGCATCAGGGTCTGTCCTGAGAACAGCTCAGAGCTCAGCTGCAGCAGCGGCAGGCCAGCACTTGCAGCTGGGAACAAAGAGCAGGACCTGGTGCTCGGCGAGCTGGGAGCAAGCGTGACTCACCCAGAGAGCCATGCTGAGCTTGCTCAGGGCAAGGCTTCCCCTTGACCCAGCCTTGTCCCACAGCCCCAGGGGTCTTCACTGTCCCTGGCTATCTGCCCTCCTGCAGCACCTGATGGGTGTGGGCAGGGATCCCCTGTGCCTTTTCATGCCTCACATGGCTCTTCCTGGGCACTGCTGGCCCTGCATGGAGGGCAGGGCTGTGAGGACATAGCAGAGAGCTCTCTGCTGACCTTTTTTTCCCTTGCCTGTGCCCTTTCCGTACCCCAGAGGTCCTGGAGGAAGATGAGAGCCCAGCTTTTTGCTGCCAGCCCCTCTGGCGTAGCCCGCATGGAGAAGTTTGACGTGCGGGATGATGGCGCGGTGCTGGAGAACACCTCCCTGCGGCGCTGCCCCCGCCGGGTGATCCGCCTCTCAGACTGCGTCTCCGTGGGCCCGGCCAGCACAGAGAGCTGCCCCAAAGCCACCACTGCCTTCTATCTCACCACCACGGAGAAGAGCTATGTGCTGGCAGCTGAGCAGGGGGACGAGTGGATCACCCAGCTCTGCCAGCTGGCTTTCCAGGTACCGTGGGGTCTGGCACAGCCAGGACCCCTCATGCTGCTCCTGGTTCAGATGAGCTGGGGTCTTTGGGATGTGTGGGCAGTCAGGGGGTCTTGTGCTGCCCCAGTCTGGGGCCACACTCACATCTCTCTGTTTCAGGGTGCAAAGGAGATGGCACAGAGCAATGCCAGGACCCAGCCCAGCCTTGCTGTCCCTATGGAAGAGAACTCCCTCTACTCCTCCTGGCAGGACTGTACGTGCAGGAGTGGTGGATGGGGCCAGGGTGGGCTCTGGCTTGGTGCCGTAGTGCTGACCCCCACCTTGTTCTGCTCCCATAGTGACTGAATTCTTGGTGCTGGTGGTCAGGACAGATGCAGCCACCCGCTGCAGCCTGCACGGGCACTACCTGCTCTCGGTCCTGCCCCAGAGCCTAACGCTGAAGGACCCGCAGACCCGCTCCTCCCTGCTCACCTGGCCCTACCTCTTCCTCCGCAAGTTTGGCCAGGATCAGGTGGGTGCCCCCCTCCCTCCCCGGG